AGGTTCGAGACGCCCCCGTATCGTCGGGAGGCAGAACTTTCGGCTTGCTGAACCGCGGCGGTCTCCAGGAGATCTCGAAGTTCGCCGCGGACCCACCGCCCTTCCGCGGTAGAAGGCTCGGGCATTGCGCGAACCAGCATCGCCGTAGCCGCAACGTTCTGGCTAGCGCGATTGAAGATCGGGGGTTGCTCACTTCCTTCGTCGTTATGGATGCGGTGATGTACGTCGAGGGCCCTCCGTCGGGCTCCCCCGCCTTTGCCGCGACCTCGCTGTTCCTGTTTGAGGGAGTCTCGAAGCTGCTGCAGACGGAGTTGGTCTTGCTCGACCTTGGCCTGGAGCTCATGGAGTTGTTCTAGGTCTGGGTGCTGAGGTCGCGCAAGAGCGACGTTCTCATTTCGTGCGGCCGGCAGGACGGCGCGTGGAGGTGTAGCGACGCCCGCGCCGGGGTGGAGCGGGGAACGGCTACCTGCCCCCTCGTCCTCTTCGCCCGCCCTCGGCATCCCGAGCCCGACATGAAAACATTCGCGAGTGGGGTCGTAGGTGCCCTCGTCGTCGGAGTCGGAGTAGCCGAAGCAGTAGTCGCTTGCGGCCAAGAATTGGCGCAAAGCCCCAGGGTTGTGGAGTTCAGAGAAATCCACCCCGGGCCATGCCTTGTCCTCGTCCGAGGAGTCTGAGTGGGTGCTCAGGGCGAGAGCGAAGCGTTGGCGGCGTTCCGAGGGGTGCTCGTGAGCGGCAGTGTAAGCGTAGGCATAAGAAGCGGCGGCATTCTTCAACCCAAAGGGGTATGGGGACGGTGTCGTCTACAGATTCTGCCCCGCCGGGGTCGGCTCTTCAGGGAGTGGTAGGGCGGAGCTAGACGACTGGACATCGCCGCATGCCATAGGTAATAGAGACGGGGATCCTGATCTTCCGTCAGGTGATGGTAACTATCGTTGTGGCGGAGAATGACACACCGATCTAGCTTCAGATCGAAAGATCGAACCTTGCAATCTTAGCACCACAGCTCCTCTGGTTATCAACCGAGTCATGGACCAGGTTGACCTCGCCAAGAAGGCTAATCCCTGCCTGCGCAACGAAGAACACAAGCAAGAACAAGAAAGAACGCAACCAAATTGCAAATGTATGATTAATCTCACGAGTTGGGGTCTCACAAACCGAAGAACGGCGAAACTGTTTCTTGACAGAATAATCTAAGCAAAACCCCAAACCCTAATAGAGGGGTGGCGGCTGTTTATGAAGACTCTAGGGTCATGCAAGACCCCTGGACGCGCCCCTAATGGGCCCAAACTCGATACATGGTCCAACGGACCAAAAGACGGTGTCGCAGCACCCTGGCAGATTCTGGACGCTAACTTGTTTCGACGATTCCTGTTGATTCCGAACAGCTTTTGACGTGAAACCACTTGGATTGTCTTCCTTATCAAATTAGCTTTCCATCCATATGTGGATCATCGAAAACGGAGTCCGAATGCGTCCTGGACGTCCATTTTATTGCAGACTGGTCCTGACAGCCGAGGCAGACTCGAACTCGGATTGGACTGGGCCTCTGGCTTGGCTTGGACGTCCTTGCTGGCCTCCTAAGGTGGTGGCCAAGGAGGAGGACGTCCAAGGCCATCTCTTAGGTGTTCTCCATCTTCTTGGGGCGTTCTCCAACTTGGGCCTGGGTCCCAAGGATATCTAACAAGCCCATGACGACAGTGTAGCTCCCGCCAGAAATAGCGACAGAATATATTGCTGATTTGGAGGCCTTGCCGACGTGATATTGAGATGGGACCAGATCTATTTGAAAGCTTATCAAACAAGCTTTCCATCAAGTGCTCATTGACCTCGATCGCACTCCGGAAGGATGAGTTATGGCCTTCCCAATGAGGCACTATCGGGCTGCCGATGAACCGAAAGTTAAACTTTGATGAACTTGCATGTTGAGACATATTTGTACCTACATTCAAATAGTGACATGTACATGTGGAACCAAGTGAATTATAACCAAAGCCACTATGCAAATATAGGAACGAGCGCACCTTATAATCATTGTTCGTATCTGAAGGTGCCATGTCCTCATCAATAGGCAAGTCTCCTTTGTCCAAGCTCAGGCTAGACAGGTCCCCAGCCAGGGACCCTGTGCCAACAGCTGGTCGTAGGATATTGGCGGGGGGTGGCGCGTCGCCCCAGATTCGCGTAGCGTCGGGGTGGCCTTGTTCGTGCGGTGCTTGGCGAGCGCGGCGAGAGCGGCTGCCCGGACGCCGCCTGCGCCTGGGCTGCCAGGGCGTAACTTCATCGTTGGTTGGTGGGGCTCGAGGAGTGAGGAGCACCATGTCATACTCATGCCCTAGAGACATGAACTCTAGGCTCCCGAACCAACCCACGGTGCCGAGACGCAATGGTCGTACGTGGTCTGCCATCCGGAACCTGCTGGGATGACGAAACCGACACGCAGTGCCCCTACCTGGCGCGCCAACTGTCGGTGTTTTGGACCGGGGGGTCCTCAACCAACCAGTGAATTTGTTCTGCGTGTTCCCAATCCGAATGGTGATGCAAAGAGACACAAGGTTTATACTGGTTCAGGCAATCGAGGCCCTACTTCCAGTCTGAGAGATTGATCTTGTATTCCTTGCACCGAGGTGCTCGTAGTAGGGGGTTACAAGCTAAAGGAGAGAAGGAGCTGGTCCTAGGTCTCGGCAGGGTGCCGTGCGGGCCGCTTGAGACGTTGCTCTCTGGCGGCAGGAGTGTGCGTGTGTTACAAGGTCTACCCCCCTCTCTTAAAACAACCCAGGTCCTCTCCTTTTATAGCATGAAGGGAGGACTAGGGCGGTACATGAGCTGACTATACGGCGTCGTGTGAACAGAGGCGGCGTGTCCGGGCCCTGTAGCCTGTTCCTGTGGCGGTGTGGCCGTCGAAGTGGTCCATCCTTGGAGTACTGGGGCGGCGTGGTCATCCCATCAGATCCTGTGCGTCGTGGGAGCCCCGAGAATGCCTCGGAGTGGTCGCGGCGGCGACCGTGCAAGCCACTGTGGACGGACTGTGCGCGAGGCCGAGACTTGGTCGATGCCGAGGCTGGCACTGCGGTGGGGGGGTCTCGGCAGGCACGAACCCCAAGATCGCAGAGGCCCCGGTGTACAGTGCCGAGGCCTTGAGCGGGCGGCCGATCATGGGTACAGCGTTTGGACACAGTGGTCGGTAATCCCCGTCGTACCCTGTCTCAGCCGGTATGGTGCTGATCGTGGACACAGTGGTAGGACACAGTGGCCGGTAATCCCCGTCGTACCCTGTCCCAGCCAGTATGGTGCTGATCGTAGACACAGTGGCCGGTAATCCTCATCGTACCCTGTCCCGGCCGGTATGGCGCTGATGCGACCTCGGGTCGCGTCAGCCATGCTGTGGCGTTGAGCCACCGTCCGGCTGAGATTGCGGGAGTGGTTGAAGCATTAATGAGACATGACGAGTTGTTGGGAGGGTCGGCCGAGGCGGGTGGCGACGGACCGCGGACGAGCCGGCCTCGAGCGACACGGAGAATGAGGCCTCGCGCGAGGCGGAGATCAGGTTCCTTGCCGAGGCCTTGCGCGAGATGCCTCGCGCGATACGGAGAATGTACCCCTGCCGAGGCCTTCCCTGGATAGCCTCGGGCGAGACGGAGACGGCGCCCCCTGCCGAGGCTCGGCGTCCCCTGCCGAGACCTACCCTGGGGAGCCTCACGCGAGGTGGAGTTTGTTCTGAGACCCCCTGCTCGAGGCTCGAGGCTCGAGGCGAGGTGGAGGAGGGCTCGGTCGTGGCAGGTGAGGGGCCCACGGCTTACCTTCTAGCTTTATTTTGATGTTTGCTTGGGGTGCCCCGTTCTAAGGTATCCGACACATTCGATCCTATGATTCATGTAATCTGGTATTACTTTTTGGTTATCTCCTAGATCTAACTGACTTGTAACCCTGTCCTCGAGACTATATAAGATGGGCAGGGACCCCCTCAAAACACCATCATACGAAGCCAATACAATCCAACAGACCATAGGAGTAGGGTATTACGTCGCGCTGACGGCCCGAACCTGTCTAACTCTTGTGTCTATGTTGCCTTCTTATTCTTGATTACGTGCATCTCCGTCGATCAATCTATCTTCGTGGGATACCCCTCTGAGGATACCCCTTTGAGGACCACCGACGATATTCTGCCGACACCTTTTCTCTTCCTTCACCTCTGGCAGCTAGCTGAACAAGTGACCTCAGTCTCACCGTCGGTGCTGGCTTGATGCAGGTTTGAATCTACATCGGTATTAACAAAATACTGCCATTAACATACAGTGTTCTCCATTTCCTTCCCCTTTTTGTGTCCATACTGTGCATGTGCTTGTTTAGACTGCCGGCTGCAGCGGCTGATGGTCTTAATTCCATGTGTTGCAATTTAATTTAGTAAAACATTAAATCCTTGACAACATATTCAGAAATCCACAATCTAGATTAATATTTAATTCTAAGCAAAATTTTACCTTTTCAAGATTAAAGTTTATGATTTTTTGAAGAGCGGGCCTGATGCAAGCGGTAGAGTCTTACCGCCTGTGAACGGAAGGTCCCGGATTCGAGTCGTGGTCTCCTCGCATTGCACAGGCGAGGGTAAGGCTTGCCACTGACACCCTTCTCCAGACCCCGCACAGAGCGGGAGCTCTCTGCACTGGGTACGCCTTTTTTTTAAGTCGAATCCATGCGTGCAAGATCACCCTCTGACACATCATGCAGATTGCCTTATGGGTGCATGACTTAATTTAGGGACTTTGGGTAGTAATATGAGAATCTCCGCGGCCAGCCTTTGACAACCTTCCCATGACAAGAGATTTATTTTCTTTAAAAAATAAGACAAGAGACTGGTCTTTCTCAAAAGGAAACTGATGAGGATCCTCCTGGACCAATATGTGTTACTCCTGAGCAGTTAGTACATTTTTCACTTGAAATGATTGGCTTAGTGTACATTTTTCGGCAGGGTGATGGTCCAAACACTGGACACCAGCAGAGGAGCAATGGGGTGTCTGCCAGCAGAGTGGTGACTTCTCGGTGTCAATGCAAGTAAGATGCTGCAATTTTTTTTTTTTTTGAAAAAAATGACAGGAGCTCTGCCTGTCAATTAAAAGTAAGATGCTGCTCGTTGTTACTTGTTCAGATAATTGCGAGAAACTTCTCCCTGCTCCGTCGATTCAATTTTATTGTCTTCACTCATTTTGCGCTCTGTGTTCATAGCACCAAGGACATCGACGAGTCATCCGCCGAGAGGCTGTATGACGCGATGAGCTACGCCATGGCCAACATGATGCTGATCCAGGTCCCAGTGCTAGGAACAACAAAGGAATTCTGGCGATTATCTGACAAAGCGACTAGGATCAGCAGAAAACTTGCATTGATACTGAGGAGCCACCACTCAGTTGGCAAGTATCTCGCTGCTCCTCTGCAGGTGTCCAACATCTGGATTGGGAGCAATGGCAGTGTCAAGCTAAGGGGGGTCAGTTTCACTGGTAAAGGTTTCAGCATTGAGCGTGTGAGAGATGACTACAAACGCTTGTCCGGGATCCTGACAGCGTTGATTACTATCTCGGATGGGGATAGCACCAAATTGCCTCCGGACTACGCAGAGTTCCTCCTGCTCTTGGAATCGGACACCCTCACAATGAAAGATGAATTCTTGATTGTAAACAATGCTGCACTGCTGCCCATAAAAAACCGGTAATGTCTTTACTTATTTTACCTTTTTTTTTTACAGCAGGCTCATTTTGCTACCTGTGTTCACACTTCGCAGCACTGAGGTCTTCCTGATGCTACACGATAGAATTGTCGATTATCTTGGGTGTACAGACAAAAAGAAGAAGAAGAGAAGGATACTCTCTAGTCTCCCCTATAAGGAAGACTGGTTGGATACTGCCAAGGCAAATACAAAAATCAACCAGTGGGTTGTCAATGTTCAAAACGAGTACAGAATGACTCCACATGATTTACTGCGTCTCAACAGAAATGTAAGAAGCCACTTGCATCGGTACAACGACGGCGACGACATTGAGGAAGTTCTATATTGTGAATGGCCCGAGCTGCTCATGGTCATGCAGAAGATGTTGCATTTGGAAGGTGAGCTCGAAGGCACTGACATTCAGAACAAGTTCGGGTAGTCGTCCTACACCCCTACTGCAAACAGATGTATATATTCCGCGTTTCCTGCGGTTGTTAAGCTACTGTTCTTCGACCTTCAGTGCGAAAGTTTATGCTGATGGAGTTGCTTTCTTCGGTTCTCTCATCTTGAAGGTAAAGCTGGATCAGCTTTATAAAATTATGCTGTAAAATGTTGCCTTAAAATTCTAAACTACGCTGTAAAATTGAGTCTGCATTCATCATCTTGACAATGCGTGGATTCCATCAGTAAGCGACGTTGCAAGACAGGGAGTCGTCCTCGCGTATTTAGATGCTTGCCAACAACCGAAATAAACAACGTTGTCAGGAGACTCTCCACAGAAAATTCAGTTTCAAGTGCCCCATCAAACAAGTTGTTCTCAGTCCTTCTCTTACGTTAAAACAGCATGTTCTCTTCATTGAAATCTTCTTGTCGCGGTGCTTGGTTTGATTACCATTTGTCACTCTCCAATTCGAATAAAATCACTGTCATGAGAACCGATACGCGTTTTCAGTTGGATGATGGTCACTTAACCAGTCTTATTCAGGATATAAGATGACCAAAGGAGTGACCTCTAGCAAACCCAGACGTCAGTGACAAAGGTGGTTTTCAGCAGAGGGGGGCCATCGTTTTGTTAATTGGGTTTGATCTAGAATATTAAGCTGAAAGCAGCATGAATATGTTGATTTCCAACTAGAGCGGTTGTTACAGCCTCGGGACCTCAGGGCGTAGAAAATCACGGGTGCGAAATTACTATGCAAAATCGATGGGAAGCTGAGGCCTGGAGTCCCAGTGGATGGATCGGCGTGAAAAATACCGATCGTGTTCAGGCCCTAGGCGCCTGGATTGCCGGACGATGAACAGTGCTCCGAACAGGGCAATGCCAAAGAGCGAGAGAGAGAGGTAATCTCAATTCTCTGGCTAACTTTATTGAGCACACAATAGTTCCATACTTATACTCCAATCCTAACAACTTTCAGCTAATACAAAAGGATAACAACTAAATGACTCAAAGCATTCCCTTGAAAGAAAATCTCCTAATCTTTAGGATCTAGCAACTGACCTGGCTGGTGACTGCGCGCCCCTGGCTTTGGCTCGGTGCCTTGGCCCGCTTTCGTAAGTTTGGCCTGGTCCCCAGCTCAGCCACTAGCCCTCTTCTTCCTTGTATAGACGTTATTTTACCAGTAATAACATCTCTGACCCCTCGTGGAAACAGCCTAGCTCTTCTTCGAGCTGGAAGGAGAGGGATTGGAGTGATACCGGAAATCGCCCACTAATTCCCAAGTAGCTTGGAGGCCGTCGTTAGTTCGCCCTCTGGACCAGAATGTGCCAAGCCCCACGCCGTTTTTTGGAGGCGCAAGACGCAGCTTAGAAATAAAAAGGCGTCATGATACTCTAGAGGTATCGAGTAGGTGGTGTGGACGTCGGAGGATCTCCATTGTGGTGAAATTAAATTAATATAGGACTACCCACATGGAGCACACATCATGTATCCGGGCAGCCTCTGGCAAAAATCTCTGAGCCGATATGCCACCGCGCTAATCTTCGCGCTCCAAGATTTTTCAGATAGGTTGGCTGTCAGTCCATACTTGGGCTCCTCCAAGCTTTGGAGTACTGCCAGAAGAACAAGCATATACTTGTGGGTATGGCGACTAACTGAATACATCCGCTTGACACTAAGCCACCCACGGTGAACTCAGATGGCCGATGGTGTAGCGTCAGAGTGGAACAGTGGGCGGGCGTACTCCTAGAAGTGCTGGAGCAAGCGTCGTAAAGGTCTCTATGAAATAATTGCTATCGTATTCAGTAGCAGTTGCGAGGGCAACGACGGTGTCCGTATACATCGAATGAGCCCAGTTCATAGGGCAATGCAAGCGCGGAGGAGGCCGGTCCATGAGACCACCAGAACGGCGTTGTAAGCGGAGTAGCCGAGTGGAACGCCGGTCAAGCGGTACTCGACTACGGAAGCATATGCCGAGTACACGGGCCGGGCGGTCCCCGTGATGCAGGAGAAGGTACATGGCGATGGTTTTGTTCACGGCCTCCCGTCGCCGTTGGGCTTGGGTGGAAGGCGGAGCTCATCCATGAATGGCGCGCTTGCTGCCACCGTGAGAGATCACGCCATGGACCGTGTCAAGGTGAACACCGGATGCTAGATATCATTCGATAATGGACTCGGGGAACCCGTGACTTTAGAAATGTCGTGGAAGAATGCGACACTCCACATCACATGACGCCGTGTAGGGGTGGCTCGTCGGGATGAAATGGGCGCCAGATTCTCGAGAACCTATCAACCACGGTTAGAATGACGCTCTTGCCGTGTACCTTGGGCAGTGCTTCCACGAAGTCCATCGCAATGTCCGCCCAGACGGATGGTACCGGTAGTGGCTGGAGAAGGCCGGCTGGGTGCAGCGCCGATGTTTTGTTCCGCTGATAAGTGGCACAGGAGCGGACGAAGTCGCTGACGGTGCGGCGGTCATGATCGAGGGCGAAGTTGGCGCGGAGACGTTGGAGCATTTTCTGGACGCCCTCGTGGCCAGCTGTGTGGGCAAGCTGCAGGACGTCGAGCAGGACAGCCGAGGTGCTGGGGACAAAGACACGGCCTTTGTAGATGATGAGGCCGTCGCGGACGCTCCAGGTGTCCCGTGGTCACCTGCAGCGACGGCGTCACGCCGACGCGTAGCTCGTCGTTGCTGGTGAGTTCCTGGCACAGCTCGTCGTAGAGGCTGAAAGCCGGTAACGAAATAGCCTCCAGGAGTGGCGCCAGGAGAGGCTCGTCGCCGTCGCGGCGTGACAGAGCATCTGCCACGGTGTTGAGCCGGCCGGGATGATATTCGACCCTGAAATCAAAACCAAAAAGCTTGCTGATCCACTGATATTGGGGGATCGTTGACAGCCGCTGATCCAGCATGTATTTCAATGCGTAGTGATCGGTGCGCACTACGAAGGAGCGCCCCCACAGATATGGGCGCCAGTGACGCACATCTTGCACGAGTCCGATGAGCTCACGCTCGTAGGCGGCCACTTTGAGGTGACGCGCGGCGAACGGTTTGCTGAAAAAGGCCAGCGGTCCTGCGCCTTGATGTAATACTGCACCGAACCTTGAGCCGGAAGCATCACAGTCCACCACAAAGTCCTTGCTGAAATCTGGCAGGTGCAGGACAGGAGCAGCAGACAGGGCGCTCTTTAGGGCGGCAAACACCGCGATAGCCGCATCGGACCACTGGAATGCATCTTTCTTGAGAAGCTGGGTGAGCGGGGCTGCTATGGTGCCGAAGTCTTGTATAAAGTGCCAGTAATAGCCCGCTAAGCCCAGGAAGCCGTGCAGGCCACGCGCTGATCGTGGCTGTGGCCAGGTCTGGACTGCCTCCACCTTGGCCTCGTCCATAGCCACACCGTCGGCAGAAATCACGTGGCCCAGGTACTGGACTGAAGAGGCAGCGAAGGCGCACTTGGAGCGCTTGAGGTGCAACTGGTTGTCGCGCAGGACATCAAGGACTGTGCAGAGGTGCCGCAAGTGTTCGGTCCAGGAGGCGCTGTAGATGAGAATGTCGTCGAAGAAGACGAGGACGTAGCGGCGCAAGAATGGCTTGAGGACGAAATTCATCAGTGCCTGGAACGTCGAGGGCGCGTTGGACAAGCCGAACGGTATGACCAAAAACTCAAAATGGCCATGGTGAGTGCGAACGCCGTCTTGGCCACATCTTCAGGGTGGACGCGGACCTGATGGTATCTGGACCGAAGGTCCAGCTTCGTGAAGAAGCGGGCACCGTGTACCTCGTCAAGTAGTTCTTCCACAACCGGAATGGGAAACTTATCCTTGACTGTGGCTGTGTTGAGCGCCCGATAGTCGACACAAAACCTCCAGGTGGAATCCTGTTTTTTGACCAGCAGAACCGGCGCCGAGAAGGGGGAGGTGCTAGGGCGGATGATGCCCTGCTGAAGCATCTGCTCACACTGTGCCTCTAGCTCATCCTTTTGCAACTGCGGGTATCTGTAGGGACGTACAGCCATAGGCTCGGTCGCCGGCTTGAGATGAATCCGATGATCACACAGACGCGCCGAGGGCAGACCCGACGGCGAGGCGAAGACTTCGTCGTAGGCGTCCAGTAAGCGCTCCAGGAGCGCCAGCTCAGTCCCGCGCGCAGCATGGACGTGGGCGGCGTGCAGGCGGCCCGTCGGAGGGATGTCAGTGCGGGTGGAGCCCATGCCCTTCCAGAGCACGCGCCGGCCGTGGTGTGTGAAGGCCATGCAGAGGTCGTCGAAGTCCCAGAGGATAGGCCCCATGGTGCGCAGCCATGCGACCCCGAGAACCATGTCGTGGCAGTTAAGGGGATGGAGTAGCAGTCCACCGTGAAGAACTCCTGGTCGATCCGGATGGCCACGTCGCGCGCAAGACCGCGACACGCCACGCGGTCACCGTTTGCCACCACAACGTGGGCGCCGCGGCTGTCCTGGAATTGGAGTCCGGCGCGTCGAGCAGTTGCAGTGCTGATGAAATTGTGGGTCGAGCCGGAGTCCAGCAGCGCCGTGAACTCATGCTCGCCGATTTGGACAAGAAGCTGCATGGTGTCCTCCGTACGGATCCCGTGATCGCGGAGAGAGAAATCAGGGGCTCCTCTGGATCGAATGGTCTGCTGGACGACGCTGCGGCCGCCGGGACCACTTCCCGCCGTCCTCCGCGGTTCCTCGATGGTGTAGTCGGACGCCTCAAGATAGAAGAGCCGGGCGCACTTGTGACCGCGGGCATAGGGCTTGTCACAATTATAACAAAGCCCTTGTTTGTGGCGCTCCGCCATCTTGTCCGGTGACAGGCGTTTGAAGGTGCGAGGTTGTGGTGCCAAGGAAGAGGATGCAGAGAGCGCCGAGCCCTAGGAAAGCGCCGGGCCAGGCAACGTGTGTTGGCCACCAGGGGAGCGTCGCGACGCGCGTGGCGGCGGCCCCGGCAGAGCGAGCAGAGCAGGTGCGTTACGTCGCTCATACGCGCGCGCCAGGCGCATGGCGCGCTGAAGGTCCTGCGGATCATGAAGCTCAACATCGACGCGGATGTGGTCCGGCAGCCCATCGGTGAACAGCTGAGCTTTCTGGAGTGGCGACATATGGCCCGTGTGCGCCGCACGGTCCTGGAACGCCTACATGTAGGTGTCCACCATGGACGTGAAGGGCAGCCGCGCTAGGTCCGCCAGATGGTTGGTGCTTAGCGGCGGCCCAAAGCGCTGCTGGCACAGCAGCCTAAACTCCGCCCATGACGGTCGACCGGCATCGTTCTCGAGGACAAGGTACCACTGTTGGGCTGTGCCGGTGAGGTGGTAGGATGCCAGCCAGACTCGGTCGGCGTGGCGCGTCTGCTGGCCATAGAAGAACTGTTCACATTTATTCCGCCAGCCGAGCGGGTCGTCTTTGCCGTCGTATGTGGGGAACGAAAGTTTATGGAAGCGGGGGACGGCCGAGCCGGATGGCTCGGGCGGTATGTGCGGCAGCGTGGGTGCAAGGTGCATGGGTGCAGTGGACCTGGCCGCGGGCGGCGACGGAAACGGAGCACCCTGCATGATTGACGACAGGGACGGCACGGGTGAAGGTGAGGGAGGAAACGAGATGTGGGTAGTAGGGATACCCATGGATGATGGCGGTGGCGGGGACAACACTGCCCCAGCTGGTGCCAACTGGGTGTTGGCGGATGGCAGCGCCGGCTGGAACGGCAGCTGGTAGGGTGGCATGGAGACGAATTCCGAGACGGGCGGCCTAGACGCCGGTAATGGAGGAATGCCTCCATACCCGGGCAGACCATACTGGAACGGCTGCGACGAAGACGATGGACGACCCTCGAGCGCCGTCACACGCAGCGACAAGTCGCCGAGCTGGCGCTGCATGCCATAGATGGCTGCTGTCAAAGCATTAAACGCCTCCGCGGGAGAGGCCGGCGACGACGGCGGCTGAGAATAGGCAGGCGGCGTGGTGGGCACTAGTGCGGCGGAGGTGGGCGTGGTGGTGGTGGTGACGGCGAGGGGCGCGGAGGAAGCGGCGGCGGTGGGAGCGACGGGGGCCGAGGAAGACATGGTCTGTGATACCAGGTTGTTACAGCCTCGGGACCTCAGGGCGTAGGGGTGCGAAGGGGGAAGCTGAGGCCTGGAGTCCCGGCGACGGATCGGCGGCGCCGTGCTCGGCGCCTGGATTGCCGGACGATGAACAGTGCTCCGAACAGGGCAATGCCAAAGAGAGAGAGAGAGGTAATCTCAATTCTCTGGCTAACTTTATTAAGCACACAATAGTTCCATACTTATACTCCAATCCTAACAACTTTCAGCTAATACAAAGGGATAACAACTAAATGACTCAAAGTCAGAAAATCTCCTAATCTTTAGGATCTAGCAACTGACCTGGCTGGTGACCGCGCCCTGGCCTAGCTCGGTGCCTTGGCCCGCCCTTGGCCTGGTCCCCAGCTCAGCCACTAGCCCTCTTCTTCCTTGTATAGACGTTGCCTACCATAAGATCGGTAGAGGCGTAGAGTCTCGTAAAAAACAATAAGGATCTCCATGCAGTAGAAAATCACGGCATGGGAAATTACTATGCAAAATCGATGGCTTCCATTGTCATTACCAATTCGATTAGTACAATTCACCAGTCTTACCCAGTGGATGAAATGACGAAAGAGTGAAAAATACCGATCGAGTTCAGGCCCTAGTGACGAGGCTGCTTTGAAAAGATAAATTCAACGTCAGAGCAGTACAACAAGGGAATTTTATGGAAATTGCTGGACTAAGCCTCATCTTTGTATCTGATAGAGTACATGAAAGTGACTAAATTTCATAATCCATGCTATCACCAAAGTTTAGGAGGAATGTTCTGAATCTGTCTGGAAGTTTCAAGATCTCATTACATGCATTCCCCTTGAAAACAAAAGGTATGACATGCATTAGAAAACTAACAAAAACTATATTATGATAAATAATTTGGCTTTGCATTTAAGTTTTTATCTTCCTTTCTTTCGTAAGTTATTTTCCCTAATATAGGTGGCAACTGGCAAGAGCTTTGACGTTGTGATGTCACAATTGTTTTCCCAGTAACGTCAACATCTATGACGTGGAGGCGTGGAGTGGAGCCTATACTCTTCTTCTACCAACAAAAAAGAAGATTAAAAAAAAAGAGTGGGATTGGAGTGACACCTAATCCTAGTGGGCCAATCAAATAATTTCTGGAGATGCAACAATTGAATCGGAAACAAGGTGACAAAATTTTGGCTTTCTTTGTTTCAAGTTAGCGTTTGACAACCCCGTGAAATTTCAGCTCTGCTTCCACCTTTGACAAATGTATATATATAAAACAATAATAAAACTATGCAAGCGTCATGTTGCTAGATATCATTCTAGATACTATATTACAATAAAATATAGCTCTGATTTACGTTATTATTATTAGCCCATTGCCTTTTTTTTATTGGAAAGGGAAAATTTCTGTCGTTAGATACTCTGTCTTTAATTAGCTTCTCAACTACTGTGCTAGTCTTCGATTTTTTTTAGGAAAAACGCAGCTTAGAAATCTAATGATCTGTCATGATACTCTAGATGTTATATCGAGTAGGTACACTTGTCACCTCATAGTGTATCATATTGTGGTGAAATTAAATTAATATAGCCAACTACCTACCATGAGCAAATTTTCAGTTTCCCTTCCTGGCTGGCAAAAGATTCTCTCTGCTCTTGTGACTTTTCCTCTACTATTCTTCTTGAGGACAAGATTTTTCAGTTCAAGTGTTGGCTGTCAGTCCATGCTGGGTGGCGCAGCTCCTCCTGGAGATTGGAGTACTTCCAGAAGAGAAAATGCATATACTTGTACTAGTAGTTACCACAGGCTGAATACTGCACGCTTGAGAGCTAACCAACCCCATGTTATACGGGATACAGATTCCAAACACAGCTTGTATTTTATTTTGCAACAGTGGAGTATTAGGTAATAATAGAAGTGCTCAGTCCGTCGTCGTAAAGGTCTGCTATGGTCAATATGTGCTATCAGTATTCAGTAGCAGTTGTACATACAACTTTTTGGGATACATATACAGACCTCACTTTCGAACGCAAAAATGTTCTCCAATCCAATGCAAGCGCGTATTGGGTTGGGTCCACTGAGATCGTCAAAAATCTAGCGAGAGGTCAATGGTCAAGTACTACATTGACTATACATGCATATGCTGCATCCGGTACACGGGCCGGGAGCGGACCGTGACCAGGAGGAGCACGAGGTAGCCACGGCATTGGTCGCGGAGTTTTCCCGTCGCCGTTGGGCTTGGTTGGATCCGTTCCATTCCATGCATGGCGCGCTTGCTGCCACCGTGACGCGTCTGTGTCACGACCATGGACCATGTCAAGGCCGCCTCATCAGGGGCATATCTATAATAAGAATTTTGTAACCATGACTTTAGAAACGTCGCAGTACCAATGCGACACTCCACATCACATCACGCCGGCCGGCTCGCTCGTCTCCGATCCATCGGATGGGCGCCACGCCAGATTCTCATAAAAGCCCCGTTGCGGCGCTAGCTGGGAGAAGCAGCTCATGCCGGCGCACGCAGCTGTGCGTAGGTAGCAACCGTAGCACCAGAGAGCCGCGCCTGCGCTGCACACTGCAGCGCTCCCCTCCCACACCCAGACAGCCGCTGCCGCTGCTGAGTGATCCATGCAGTGGTAGGTAGATGGGGAGGCTGCGCTACTACTCGTCCTCTCAGTCCGTCCCCTCCCTCCGCCGCCGCCTCGAGCTCGTTCTGGCGGCCGCGCTGCTGGTCTGGTGCCAGGCGAGCCTGCGTGTGGCCACGGCGCAGCAGCCGCCGTCGCGTGTGCGCGTGGGCGTCATCCTCGACCTGACGTCGCTGATTGGGCAGCGGCGGAAGGTCGGCATTGAGATGGCGGTGGAGGACTACTACGCCGCTCGCCCGGGCTCCAGGACCAGGGTCGCGCTCAGCTTCCGGGACTCCGCCGGGGACGTCGTCGGCGCCGCTTCCGCCGGTAATTTATATAAGCTCCAATGCTCGATCGTCCCTCCCGCCGCCTCATCACGCGACGTCGTTTCGGAATTTCAGATGCATTCGTGCATGCTTCGATTAATTCGGTAGAGATTTTATACTAGTAGATATGCAAGCTCAAATTGACGAGTACTAGACTGTAGTCTGTAGATCGATATGCATGCATGGCGGCCATGGCCATAGCTTGTCTTGCCTGTCCAGTATTACTCCTGTCCTGTCCTGTCCTGTGTGACATGAGCCATGCCCATGAACGAGCACCGGCCAGTAGCTGTGGCTCTGCATGCATGCTCCATCTCAAGCATGGGCCATGGCTGCATGAAAGTAGCTTTACTTGTCATGCTTCGCCGCGCGTCTCCACCATCTTGTTATCTGCTCGGATCTGAACTCGTCGCCGGAGCTCGCTCCTGAGTCCTGACCCAACTCTTCTCCTTGAGCTGTCCAGCTAGCTTTCAATGTACTCGTACGTACCGCGAGCGTCGTGTTCTCGTCTAGCTATACGGCTATACCATCCACACGACACCGACCCCAAGTGGAAGTATGTTTCCTCACCAAGCAATTGGAAATTAACAGTGTTCCTGCACCAACCGATCGATTAAACTGCCATTTGCACTACCTACTACTGCTACTACATGTCATATGGTCGTCTTCCCAAGAGGACAAAAAAACGTAACTACTGTATTAGATTTCACATGATACTCCATATGTGTCTGCCTGTCAGCCCGTCGACACAACAACAACAACAACAATAATAATAAGTTTATTTATTTACTAGAGACCAACAGGCCGGGCGCCATGCATATGTCGCCTTCTCCGATCCTGGGCTGCGATGATCCATGCCTCAGACTTGGAGTAGCTCTTGGTGTTCCGTCACCGAGGCACGTGCCTAGGCGAGCGACATGTATGCATGGTCCAGCTCGAGGCCCGCTCTGTGCAAACCTTCAAACATGCCAGACTTCAGTCCAAGTACGGAAGCAGGTGAGGTGACAGAGATTGATTAGATCCTAATCTTACCGCCCAGTTTTCACCACAAACTTTTACGGCTTATTCATTCTCCATGCCATACCAATCATAATTTACCATGGAGGGCATATAATTGTGCTGGTTCCATTCAAAAGTAGTATACCTCAAATCAGGTAGAAAAAGAAAAATCTGAACTAGTACTATTTATCTAAGGCCCTGTTTAGTTTCCAAATTTTTTTTTGCCTCATACAGTAAAAGAGCATGTTTGACACGTGCACGGAGTACTAAATATAGACGAAAAAAACTAATTGCATAGTTCTTGGCAAAATCCCGAGACGAATCTTTTAAGCCTAATTAGTCCATGAAAAGCCTTAAGTGCTACAGTAACCCACATGTGCTAATGACCGATTAATTAGTATCATTAGATTCGTCTCGCAGTTTCCTGATGAGTTCTGTAATTTGTTTTTTTATTAATATCAAAAAAATCCCTCCCGACATCCTTCCGACACATCTGATGTGACACTCAAAAATTTTCACCTCCCCAACTAAACACACCCTAACACAAACATATTTTTGTTATCCGTACAGCTCCCTCTCCTAGTTGGCCTGACAAGGTCAGTATCACATCCTACCACTTTTTACGACAGCACGGGATCAGTTTTACAGCGGACGTCTTGCGTCTCTTTCGCTGGTGACCTAACCAAAACCAAGCATGTATTTAGCCAGTGTTCAGTCCCCTTCCAAATTTCCAAAAAGTGCTACAGTATTCATCACATCAAATTTTACGATACGTGCATGGAGCATTAAATATAGACGGAAAAAAACTAATTGTACAGTTTGATGAGAAATTACGAGACGAACGTTTTGAGCCTAATTAGTCCATGATTGAACACTAATTATTAAATAAAAATGAAAGTGCTACAGTAACCTAAATTCCAAACTTCACTCAACTAAACTCGGGCTTATTATATAAGCCTGACGGGGCAGTTAGTTGCAATTATGGGTTGCGATCACTGGTGTCAGTCGTCAGACACCACACCAGTGACAAACAACGTTCCGTTTAGATCCAAAAATTTTAGGGTTTTAATTACGGTAGCACTTTCGTTTGTATTTGACAATTAGTGTCTAATTATGGACTAATTAGGTTCGAAAGTTTCGTCTTGCGATTTCTCACCTAACTATACAATTAATTTTTTTAATCTATATTTAGTACTCCATACATATGCCGCAAGATTCGATGTGATGGATACTGCGCAAAAAATTTTAGGTTTTGGGAGGAACTAAACAGGCCCTAACTGAAGACGAAAAATCCTGCGGTTTCCGCGTGGAAATTTTGAGCCCGCGTGCCGATCGGATCTGCTGGGACTGACCAGTAGCCTGCGTGCTCTCCGAATGCGCGTTGGCGGCGGTTGGCCGATGGGGACTCAGCTCCATGCTACGCAATTGGTGCGTAGACCTCTCTCTCTCTCTCTCTTTGGTCGGTTGGTCCTTCGGAATAGTCGGCCAGTTTTCCATTGATAGCTGCTGAAAACGTAGTAGCTCTCGATCGGTCACTGTCAGTAGCTGTGATTATTGTCGTAAACCCATCTATCACCTGCAGATATATGCATGGTGCTTTTTATCTTGGAGGTCAATTTTGAACAGGAGAACACCGGTTTTTACTTTCTATATAGGATTAACTGATTATGCCGTGGAGTGGTGGTGAAGCCTAGCTAGTGGCAGTCATCAGTCAACCAGGGACAAACCAGACTGCTTGGCAACCAAGCAATTTTTGAGGTCTGCTGATCATTTGGTCAACGAAATTAAATGGGTGTAGAAGAACCTAGTAGCTTTCTGTCTACAGTCCTCTCACCAAGAGAACCAGCTACTCACGAATAAAGCCATCTTCTGTCAAGGAATTAATCAGGATTCGATGCTTTATTATGTCTATGGAATTGAACTTCTTTCACACGACGAGCTTTTGTTCTTGTGCCATACAACAAGCAAAGCATCAAACTAGGTATTTATTTAACAGGTGAAATGAAAAATATTTCACACTAATATTATATGAAAGGAATTCAACTTTCTTTTTACCAAAAATCTTGGAGAAATTCTATCTGGTGTAGAGGTGCAGCCTTGCAGGTGCTGCATAGAATCCTTTTCTGTTCCAATTCCAACGCTTGTTGCCGTCTATGGGCCAAATTATCCTTTTGGCCGAGATGTTTACGGGCTTCTGCTCCATCATATTTATTCCTGAGCGGGAAGCATTTGGTTTCTGTTTGCTTGCAGCGGTGGACCTGATCAAGAGCGAGCAGGTGCAGGCCATCATCGGCCCGCCGACGTCGGCGGAGGCCGAGTTCGTGGCCTACCTCGGCAACCGCACCCACGTGCCCGTGCTCTCCTCCTCCGCCACCTCCCCGGGTCTCTCCCCGTCGCAGACGCCCTTCTTCGTGCGCACCGGGGCCAACGACTCCTTCCAGGCCGCGCCCGTGGCCGCCGTCCTCGCCGCGTTCGGCTGGCACGCGGCGGCCGTCGTCTACGAGGACTCGCCCTACGGGTCCGGCATCCTCCCGGCGCTCGCCGGCGCGCTGCAGGGCGTCGGCGCCAGGATCACGGACCGCGCCGCCGTGCCGAGCGACGCGGGCGACGACCGCATCGATGCGATGCTCTACGGATTCAAGGCCATGGCGACGCGCGTGTTCGTCGTGCACATGAACCCGTTTCTGGCCGTGCGGTTCTTCCGCCGGGCGAGGGAGGCCGGCATGATGACGGAGGACTACGCGTGGGTCGCCACCGACGGCGTCGGCAGCGTCGTGGACGCGCTGAGCTCTGACGACGTCAGCGCCATGGAGGGGGTCGTCAGCCTCCGGCCGTTCGTGCAGGTGACGGACCGAGTGAGAAACTTCTCCGCACGGTTCAGGGCGAGGCTCCGGCGGGAGTACCCGAGCGCCGACATCTACCCGCATGATCCGACCGTCGTGATGCTCTGGTCGTACGACACGGCGTGGGCGATCGCGGTGGCAGCCGAGGAGGCCGGTGTCTCCAGCCCGGCATTCCAGACACCGCCGCAGAGCGCGGCGGTCACAGACCTGGACCGGCTCGGCGTGTCGGCAACCGGAGCGACGCTCCTCAAGGCGGTGCGCGAGACGACCTTCCGCGGACTCGCCGGGAACTTCGCCCTCGTCGACGGGCAGCTGCAGCCTCCGGAGTACGAGTTCGTCAACATCGTCGGGAAAAGCTCGAGGGCGGTGGGGTTCTGGACGCCGGAGGCTGGGATCACACAGACTCTGGGCGCCGACGGCGCCAAGGGGCTGAAGAAAATCCTTTGGCCAGGTGATTCCATATCCTCCCCAAGAGGCTGGGTCGTGTCGCCGAACGGACGGCAGCTTCGCGTCGCCGTGCCGGTGAAGCATGGGTTCAAGGAGTTCGTCGGCGTCCAAAGGGACTCGACCAACCGAACTGCAAACATCACAGGATACTGCATCGAGGTGTTCGACGCGGTCATCGGCAAGTACATGCCGTATCCAGTGAGCTACCAGTACGTGCCATACGATTATAGCTCCGAGTCCTACGACAACCTCGTGTCCCTGGTGCCGGAACAGGTCAGTACACACCAAGCAGGACAGATGGTAGATACCATGATGCACGTAGGGTGTGTATGTGTGCTGATCGAGAAGCTTTGTGCCAATGATGACTGCAGAGGGCGGACATCGTCGTCGGTGACGTGACAATCACGGCGAGCAGGATGGGCAAGGTGGACTTCAGCATGCCGTTCACGGACTCGGGGTGGTCGATGGTGGTGGCGGTGCGCACGGAGACGAGCACGAGCATGTGGATCTTCCTGCAGCCGCTGACCACCAGCCTGTGGCTCGCCAGCCTCGCCTTCTTCTGCTTCACCGGCTTCGTGGTGTGGGCGATCGAGCACCGGATCAACCCCGAGTTCCGAGGCACGCCGTGGCAGCAGTTCGGCCTCATCTTCTACTTCGCCTTCTCCACGCTCGTCTTCTCGCACAGTACGCGCGCACGAACCCGATTCAGCACCAATAACTTTAGTTTCTTTCTTGAACAAGAACAGTGGCTGAAAGATTGACTTGCATCGTGATCGTGCAGAGGAGAAGCTGGAGAGCAACCTGTCGAGGTTCGTGGTGATCATCTGGGTGTTCGTCGTCCTGATCCTGACGTCGAGCTACACGGCGAGCCTGACGTCGATGCTGACGGTCCAGAAGCTCCAGCCGGCGGTGACCGACGTGAGAGAGCTCCAGCGGACCGGGGCCTTCATCGGGTACCAGGAGGGCTCCTTCATCAAGCAACGACTCCAGAAACTAGGCTTCGACAAGGCCAAGATGAGGAGCTACAGCACGGCGGAGGGGTACGCCGACGCGCTGTCCAGCGGGCAGGTCGCCGCCGTGTTCGACGAGATCCCGTACCTGAGGCTCTTCCTGTCGCAGTACTGCGACGGCTACACCATGTTCGGCCCGGTCTACAAGACCGACGGCTTCGGGTTCGTCTTCCCGATGGGCAGCCCGCTGACGGCGGACGTGTCGCGCGCGGTCCTGACGCTGGCGGAAGGCGAGGAGATGGCGCAGATCGAGAAGAAGTGGTTCGGCGAGCCGGGTAAGTGCCCGAGCCAGGGCGGCGGCGGCGGCGGCGGCACCGACCTCGGCTTCTCCAACCTCAGCTTCCGGAGTTTTGGCGGGCTGTTCCTCATCACCGGCGTCGTGTCCGGCCTCATGCTCCTCGTCTACCTCGCCACCTTCGTCTACCGCGGGCGCGGCGAGGTCCGGCCGGAGGAGGAAGGCTCGGGGAGCTCGTCAATGCGCCGGCTGCGCGCGTGGCTGCGGCACTTCGACCAGAAGGACCTCAAGTGCCCCACGTTCAAGACGGGGAACGGCGACTCCATCAGGGATGGGAACCAGACGCAGAGATGGGTTGAGTTTGAGTCCGTCAGGAATGGCCGTGGCGGGAACGGGCCGGTGCAGGCGGCGGCCGAGGACGAAGTCATTGCCATTGGCATGAGCCCGCTCAGTTTCAACACCTCCACTCCGTCGGAGACGATCAACGCCGGTTCGTCGCCGGCGTCAGAGCTCGGTACCTCGTTCGAGCAGAGGATGCAGGAGGCGCCACAGTCTGCGTCGGTGGACATGCCAGGATCAACGGCCCCGTAACTGTACATTACAGGAGAATTGCTCCCTGGCATGCCTAACAGGCCAAGTCAGTTTGTCTAGATAGTGTACATACATCAGCTCAGCGAAGTGCTGACAACGCACTACTTGTATTGTGGAACAATCTGTCCAGAGTGCATCATTCGGAGAGTATGTGTTGCATTCCGAAGCCAATACATGTTCAGTTCGATAGGCCCTGGTTAACTGACTAGCAAATTGAGGAAGAAAAATATCTAGTGCCACTTGCATGTTGATTCATCCTGTACATGTTTGCAACTGAAACTCTTACACCACACCAACAGTAGACCTGAACCAGAAAAAGCAGCGCTTCTACGATGATATAGTTGTCACGGCAAAGAAAATTTTGAGAGCGAACCACGTCGCGTACGCAAATGAACATGCTCTAGGACAGTGCAAACACCAAACTGTCCAATTTGACAGTTAATAAGGTGTTTTTCACCAGATTATTCTTTTGCATCGACACACAACGTTACAATACAAACAAATCAAGCTTTTGTTTCCTTCAAAAAGAACTTAGGATACAACAACGCATATGATACAATACAACAATGCATGGTGCCATATCATGCGCCGGCCATGACTTCGACCATGGCACGGTAAGGGCCAACGAACATGCATCCTCGCGGCAGTCCACCCAGTTCTAAGAATCTAGTGCCCGCTTCTCCTGAACTGTACACAATTCTAACGATCTATGAATGCAACCCTGGTACAATTTGCAATGAGACCAGAGGTGATATCAGGAAATGATATGCCAACAAGGAAATGGTACCCTAAAGAAACACAGGACTTTGGAATTTTACCTGATTGACATAGGGAAATCTCATTGCTCCCCATTTATCATGAGAGAATGATAGGGAACTTTGTTTATTTCCACAGTGGTTGAGTGCTCCTGTAAGAGTGGTTGTTTCCATGGCTCTCCATCCATTTGAATATATGCTCGATCCCACTCGCCACCCCTCATTTCAAATTTGATAGCCGCAGCCTGATATCAGGAATGGATTTGGATCATGTAGTCCATTAAAAAGCATCCATAGGAAAAGACGCGTTAGGAACAATTCAGGACATTGACTAAACTGCTCAATAACATCAGCTAAACTAAGCCCCACAAATTTCTACAACCTTAATATACCAAATAATTATGACTAGCAAAAAAAAACCAACATCAAGGTGTCTCATAAAAAAAAATCACAACAACACAGTTGCTTATCACTCTGATTATCCCAACAGACAAATCTTTTGCTGAGACATGATGCAAAAAGTAAGGCAACAAAAATAAAGTACCTGGGCAATGTGCTTTGCTTTGATAAGCTCAGCCATAACAAATGAAGCATGCCAACCTTCCTTCAGACCAAATATTTCAAGTAAGCCATCATCTGAATGAGCTTCAACAAAGCCTCTCTGTAAATCGGTAGAAAATGCTAACATCACATTCCATTGTGCGCAAAAGAAACAAAACCCTTGTACAAACCCCACTACTTGATGCTGATTCTGGCTGCTTCATATTCTTGAAAGAAACAGTAATAGTTCTAGAAAAGTAATGCTAAGCTGACCCATTTTTTAAACCATTTTGCAATATCAAAGGTAGAGTTGTCAAAAGATCTCAAAAACCTATATTTAGGAACAGAAAGTAAAATTGTCAAATCATATGTGATTCACATGGCAATGCAAGTACTAACCTTTTCAAGATACTCAGGTTTAAGATCACCCCATGGATGCCTTCCACTGCTATAGTTGTATAGATTTAGGACAACTAGGGATCTAACGCTGCATTATCAGAGAAAAGGATGTGAGTGCAGTTCCAGGGCATCCTCCTCAACAGTAAATAGTTTAGACGATAATTCCCTATAGGCATGCTCATCTAGCATCCTAGCATCTGTAATGAGCAGATATACCATCCAGTTTTCACAACAGTAGGATGAGTATCCAAGGCATTCAAATATTGATTAGTAAACTAGAATCTTTTGACATAATATAGATAGTAGTTCAAAAGTTATGTGCACTTTGAATAATATAAAAAAAAAAAAAACTGGACCTGCGGGGGGAAAGCCACCCCCCGGACATTGCATTAAGAAGAAGAACCTTCTCACGCAGGTCCAGAAAACCCCCGAACCCCTGCCCCACCCATACACAGCGGCACCGTACCCCTGTGAGAACAGGGCCGTTCCTTAGACCTGTGCTTTGGCATGGGACAGACGAGGGGATTTTTTTAACCCCAGCCTGAAATTCGCTCCCACGGGGAGTCGAACCCAGGACCTGAGGAGTGCCGCTGGGGCGCTCTAACCAGTTGGACTAGAGGCCCTTTGGCACTTTGAATAATATAGCTGTGACTATGCCAGTGTAGTTGTAAACTGACATGAAGAAGCTCCACATACAACTTCATGCCTTTACATAGGACATTTGCAGCCAAAAAGAATTATGAGCCATATAGGTGTCTGCCATATCAGTTCATGTACAGTAGCAAATCAGAGTCATTGCCATGTACTATCTCAGTAATCCAAAACTAACTGCACCTATACATAGTCATTCTAGACCCAGGATATAAGCATCATGCTCCAATAATTACTACTAATCAAATATGTAAATCCAGCAGGGCAATTCCTCTCCAGCATTATTTGATATACTCTGATTTGAATTATAAAAAATAATAACTTTGTTCCAGTACAATTACCAAAACTGAATATCCAATGCAACAACAGAAATTTATTTGTAATAGCATAGTTGCAGTGCCCCATCTTTTTGTTATGTATAACTGTATTGTAAGTACTAAGTTTTTGCTCTTTTATTGATTTTTGTGATTTTTTTAATAAAGGGTATTGATCTTATACCAAATATCTAAGAAGCTTATATTTACCATCAAAGGGATTATGATGATTAAAATAATATTGTAACGAGTTTAACCGTGCTATTTGCAGGGGCCAACTTGCCAGTTTAGACGACGTTGTGAAGAGGCTAGTAGCAATTAAGGTACTTTGGTCCCTAGTAGTAACTAGCTAGCTAATCAAGGGATGATTGCAACAGTTCATTTGAGCGATAAGGGGTGCAAACTCCGAAGTTGGAACCAAACATAGAAAACATAAAGTATTCTTGTACTCTTTCTAAAAACCTCAAACATCATGTAAATATGACTAGAGGGAGTATAAGTATAGGTGCGAATGTCAGAAACTAATTCCTAAACTACACAGAAATTCGCATATGAAGTGGCAAAGTATCACAGGAATTTTTCAAGGTTCTTAAGGCTCTTTGCCGTAGCCTGTTTATACTTTATAATGTTAAAGATATCAATAACTAACTTTGAAAGCATTTGAACTTGCTCCCACTCTGAACAATTGGCCTTTTTAATGGAAAGTCGCAAAATGTTCTTAAGCCCCCTGCATCAACAAAGAATTATGTGAGCTTTGGATAGGTAGCAGGACAATTTTGAGCAGCTTAGAGAAGGAATAGTTCAAAGTTCATGTAAAAGCATATCGTTTACCTTAGCTGAGGACTTGCTGTACAAGGTGTACAAAACCACCCCTGAGTGCAGCTATATCCAGCATAAATCAGCTGCATAGGGTAAGAAAACAAAGATCATCAGCAGAACCACTTTATGTCACGTAAATACCCAAGGCATGAATCTGGCATACCAAATGGCATGCAACAACAAAGCCTTTTAGTCCCAAGGAAGTTGGGAGATACCACAGGAATATGCTAAAGGAAATGAGCATATAAATAAGCCTTTGAAGTCTATTTTCTTTTTCCTTATTCGTAGGTTATAATGTTATACTACCTCCACCCCCGAATAAATCAACTTCAGAGTTGTCATAAGTCAAACTTTTGTAAGTTTGATAGAACTTTATAGAAAAGAACACAAATATTTATGACACAAAATTAGTATTATTAAATAAAGGGCGTACCCAGTGCAGAGAGCTCCCGCTCTGTGCGGGGTCTGGAGAAGGGTGTTAGTGGCAAGCCTTACCCTCGCCTGTGCAATGCGAGGAGACCGCGACTCGAACCCGGGACCTTCCGGTCATAGGCGGTAAGACTCTACCGCTTGCACCAGGCCCGCCCTTCAAAATTAGTATTATTAGATACACCATGAAATATATTTTCATAGTGTACTTATTTGGTGTCATAGATACTGATACGTTTTTCCCTATAAAGTTGGTCAAACTCATAAATGTTTGGCTTATTTGGGTACGGAGGGAGTATATTTACAGCTGCCAGTCCTATCTTTTGGGTGAGCTGGTCACCTACAATTTTGTGTGTTGGCAAATTCTTTCCAGTTTCTCTCAGGGTATGTGTTTGAGGTGAGTTCAAGGGGTTGTGTTTGGGGGGAGGGATTTTCTGCCCTCTCACTTTTACTAATTCCCTTCTTCTTAATAAAATGATACACAGCTCTCATGCTTGTTCAAGAAAAAAAATGTTATAGTCTAGAAGAATTTGCAGTACCATCAGCTCATCCAACAGATATATAGCAATATAAGGAGAATAAGAATTTCCTTTTTTTTTCTGTGTGACATTACATGGTATTTTATCATCACAATTATGAGATTCTGATGAAACAGGCAATCTACAAAGATATTTCTAACCGGCAGTCTCAGTGGAAGGATATACGCTGCTCACTCAGTAAAATAATTTGCTATGTAGTTCCAACAAAATGAGCTAGCCAATAATCACACTTCATAAATAATAACGATGAAACATATAGCAGAGTATTTAAGCGAGACAACATTAAGATTACACCATTGGAGGGTTCCTATTAGCACCTTATTTGCAACTGGTCCTTGTGCAAGATACGGTTTTTCATCACGAAGATGATGGAAGCCATATGCAACCTGAGCATCCATCCCTGTTCAAAGTAAATAGCAAATTTATCAATGAAAATAAACTATAACAACTAAAAACATTAATCAAAATTCAAATTCTTGATGCAACCTAAGGAAATAGAACATCTGTTCTAATTCTGTTTATGATTCAAAAGGTTAAACGGTGTAATTAAGTCTATCTACTGCACTAGCTTCAAACTTCTGAAGGATATCTCAGCAAATGAAACCTTTAAGACCTTTCAACTGATAAAAAAGAAAACCCTTAAGAGAAAGGTAACCAACGAAATACCAATGCTAAGGTAGTTGTAGAATACTCCTTTATAGAAAGAAGCCTTTTCGGATAACTCTGTGCCGTTCTCCTGCACCATATAAGATTAGCATTTTAATAAATCCAAATCAGAAATCACTAAATGTACTATGGCATACTCTACAAAATACAATCTCCAGCGCCTTTTTAACAAGCAACCACATTATTTTTATGTTACTATCTTGTTCTAACGTTACTTTTCAGATTTCTGTTATCATTTGCAATCTTAGCATTTGTAAGATATAAACAAACTCGATAAGAGCAAAGGAGCTTAGATGGAAAGAGTAGTGAATGTAGCCGACTTATATTTAAGTAGCATATAAATCTAGACGAAGACATGAAGTGATAGTCAAACCTGGCTGATCTCCAACCGATCTCCAGGTTCCACTTTCTTAAGTGCATATGGCAACTCTTTTATTTCTCCTTCTGGCATCTGAATTACAGTTTGCCAGCTACATGGACAACAGTAGAGGTTATCAGCATATAAACGGATGAAACGCCTGCATAGGAACATAACATATACATGTTGTGATGCTATCATATAGACGTACAAACATACCCATTGATATCACAATACATTATTCTGCCTATCTAGAGTAAGTAGTCATCTCAGGTACTAAGGGTGTGTTTGGTTTGCACCCTCCTAGGAGCGACAGCAGCCACAGGTATCCAAAATGTGACACCTGGGATCGCTGCCTGCGCCAGGCAAGTCTGCCAGGGCACAAAGCAAAGACCCCTAAGAGATCAAATGTGACAAAGACGTGCACAAGTTATATGGAGCAATAACTTGCTTCACTATTGGCGAATTTATAGCAGATAAGCAGATAGTAGATCAGAACTTTTATTAAGGTGGAGTAGAAGACCAGCTACTCCACAATATTAATCGCTTTTCCTCTAGATAATCAACTAGTCAAACTTGAATGTGTATAACCAAAAAAAAAAAAAGGTGCCAAAAAAACAAACAAAGATCACACCTGTCAAGACGGCAAATGGGAGCAGTGGAAGCTTTGCTGAGATAACGCTTTACAGCTGAGCGCCAACCAAAGGGAAAAGAGCCACCCTGTGCACAAGCTGATTAGTTGTTTGGATTGAAAACAGAGGATTTACATAGAGAAGTAAAAGAACGAATATATATAGGTCATTACCCATCCAAACGATCTAGCAAGATCATTTCCTGTACCAAGTGGAATGATTCCTGTAGGTGGAACTGGTTCCCTTTTCAACTTATAAAGATCGGAGAGACATCCAAGCACCCAACCAACTGTGCCGTCACCCCCAGCAACCTGACAGGAAAAACTAGCACATGGATGTTACACAAAGTAGTTGGAGGATAATGTGTAAGCAACATCACAAACCATTTATTGAAGAGGAGAAGAGACATGGATGCTCCAATTAGTGAAGAAAGCCACAGCCTTTCATAAACTATTAGATAGGGAAAGAAAATTGGATGTGTGCTGTTAATATAAAGAAAGGCACTATTATAACAAAAGGAATCAAGCACATACCACAATTCTGATTTTCTCACGAACGGCCTTCGCACGGTTATCGCCTTGGTCAGCTAACTTCTCCAAACAACTCAAACCATAGTGAACAAAATCTGAAGGCTTCACAACAGAAAGATCAAAGACCTGGGAAAATGGTTGTCAGTATGTACTGTTCACTTTCGACCAACTGATAGTTTAAAGAAAACGTATCAACAACAATAACATGCTAGATGAGCTGTCCAACCTCTCAAGAGCAATGCACAAGCTTATCAGATTCCATAGAATTGTATAAATTTTCTACCTATAGTTTTTCATCAGTTATAGCCCTTTTATACTCTATAGTTACATCAGCAACCCAACAAGTTAACATCAAGTTCCACAAGATTTGATGCATAAGAAAAATAGATAGATTCAAGCAGTGTCCAAATCAGTGTCGCTGGCAGCTCTGGTTTCCTATCAAGAGACTGTCAAGGTAAGAAGTAGAAGGACGTTCCATCACTGCCCTCTGGATGCTATCACCCTGAAAGGATTGTGTGTGCCTTTGTTTCCCCCAGAAAGACCACAGAACGATGATGCTACATGATCTCTATCTAGGTCATCCATGATCCATCCATCCCCTGCCTGCTACCAACCAAATTGAATATTTTCAGCTGCTCCTATATACTATCCGAGGCCATGTGACAAAGTGAGATGCAAATAGCTACAGCCTTCCCAACAGCCAACGGTACAAAAAAAAAACTCGACCTGCGGGGGGTTATGACGGCCCCCGGGTTTTCCGTTAAGAAGAAGGATCTTCTCACACAGATCGAGAAAACCCCCGCCCCCATCCTGACGCGGGAGGTGCCGTAACCCTGTGAGAACCGGGCCGGAGCCTTCCACTGCGCTTTGGCACATGAGGACGGGCGAGGGATTTTTTAACCTCAGCCTGAAATTCGCTCCCACGGAGAGTCGAACCCAGGACCTAAGGAGTGCCGCTGGGTCACCTAACCGTTCGAGCTAGGCGCCCTTTGGCAACAGCCAACGGTACAATACAAGCATTTATTATGCATATTCACCATGACACCATCCAACAAATAACTGTTTTTTTTTCATGAGCCATCCAACAAATATTCGTTTTCTTCCGTCGAACCAATATCAATCTATCATGGGAATTCCACAAAAAAGGCAGTGGTGGCCAGGTAACCTAACTTGTAACGTTTGAATTGATCCACAGAAGGCTTTACTGCTTTATTAGAGAGCCGTCACACAGATCGCGTGATGCTTATATTCTCTTTCCCAAAGTACCAATGTGCGTACTACTCCGACGGATGTCCACCTACCCAAGGAAATCTCTACAACTAAAACATTCATAACTATTCAGGTGCGACACCAAAGCCGCTCCGTGCGATCAGATCAGGAAGGCAACGCGCACTCGCTCCGTGCGACACCTATTTTTTCATTCTAAAACGTTCGTGTCGTCGCGGTAATCTCTTCCTTCCATAAAAAATCCATCGATTTGTCTCCCTTCCGTAAAACCGCTCTCACCTCTTGATCCCTGCCTCTCAACGTTGCTTGCCCGTCCCATCCTCCGGCACCGCCGAGTCTAGCCGAACCCCCACGGAAGCCAGACGAACCCGGAGGACGACCACGCCCAGGTCTCCGCCACCGCCATCGCTGCCTGCTACCACGACCTCAAGTGACAGGCTACAGTGCGTGCCCCGCTGCGTCGCGGCTGCCCGCATCACGCCGCCGCCGCCGTCGATGCCAGCCAGGCTACGCGTCGCTAGCGTCTCCTTGAATCTCACGCACTTCTTCGTCTTGCACGCTTGTCATAGGGAAAGCGGCGGAATGGTGGGCGAACGAAGCGAAGCGCCGCCACCCTCCATCGACGGCAGTGCCCCGATCCGGCGTGGTGGCACCTCGATCCGTCGTGGTGGCACCCCGATCCGGCAGAGCCGATGCAAATCCAGCGGGGACAGGGGAAATCGGATCTTCATGCGGGGGTATTTGCGGCCTCTGTTGGCAGCGACGTCAATGCGACTGGGCGTTGTCACCGTTGACCTCGTCGTTAGAGTCGCAGACATGATGCACAGCATGTACGACGGCCTCATGGTGCCTTCGGCATCGTCCTCCGTGCCGCGGCCACCTCCATCCTCGTGCTGCCTCAGCCGACGACAACGTGTAGCCGACCTCCAAACATCAACATCAGGTTCACCCTTCCCATGTTACCTTCCATTGTGATGGCTTCATTGTCGGGAGTAATGTTGTTCCCTGGTGGCTTTTCCTCCATTGATAGGAAGCACGACTTCACTGACATCGACCTCCATTGGTCGCTTTGCACTGACTGCACCATTGTCTCCTCTTCAATGGATGCGTCGTCAAGGTGTGTTCAATATTCTTTCAAGTGTTTGTATGAATTAACATGACAGAATAAAGAATTAGCATGGCTGAATATTCAGTCACCAGACGATTGTATGAATTAGTATGACTGAATATTTAGGTGTGTTCGGTTTCTTTCATGTGTGTGCAATGTAGTAGAGGTGCATCCTTTTGTTTCTATCAAATTAGTCTAAGCTGGCCTCTTGAATGATTTTTTTCTGCAAATATTCTAAAAGTTCACCTATTTTTTGTCGCAACACGTTCTCTTAGTCGAACTATTGAGAGATTAGATTCTTAATTGTAGAATAGATTCTAAAACATGTATTGTGAAACACAAACTTGTTATGATTATCTTTCCGTAGCACTTGATTCCTAAAGAAGTGCAAGCTTATCTTTCGCGTATCGTAGGCACGAAGTGATGCGACAATTGAAGTTGATGTTTTAGTTTTGCATTCAAATTTAGAGTTATATTTTAACTATCTATCTTTCGTGAAGACTTATGTAATATTGATTGGAACATTATGATTGCGGTATCTATTTTAGATAACAGTATAACACACGCTCATACATATATTATCGTGGTATTATGTGTTCCCGTTGGGACGCACGGGCATTTACCTATTCAACTAAAACACGTCTCCGAGGTCAAAATCGCTGTGAAATTCCACTGGAGTGTCACGAGCGATCACTTGCAAGCTCAAACACCAACGGCATCAACAAACGCGAAAGCGAAACTGCGATTTGGTGGGAGAAAAAAAAAGGGGAGCAAAATTGGGGCAAGCAGAGTTGCACGAGCGTCGAGAGAATCTCCATGGCGTCACCCACCTGCTCCTCGGTGATGAGCTCGTGCAGCCGAACCTTGAACTCGGGCCCGTGGCGCCCTCCGCTCCGCGAGTTGACGAACACCACCACGGGCGCCACCGCCGGGCCCTCCGCGTCCTCCCCCGCCTGGTCCTCCGCGGTTGCCGCCGCCACGCCGGCGGCCTCGTCCTTGGCCTTGACGGCGGCCGCGACGGCGCGGCGCAGGTAGAGCGGCATGACGATCTGCCTCCGCAGCTCGGCCTTGTCCACCTCCTTCGACCATACCCCGCACGCGCGCACCGACTCCCAGATCGACACCCGCGCCGACGGCGCCGTCGAGGGCGCCCTCCGCACGACGGCGGTGTCGGCCGGCGCCTCCCCCACCCGCTCCATGGCTATACGCCTCGCCGCCTCCGCGGACAAAGCTCAGCAGCTCCGAATTTTTGTTCTCTCTCTTCTCTCCCTCGTGCTTGCTTGGTCTGCTGCTCTAGCCGCTGGTGCGCGAGCTGGTGGACGGAATTGGGGAAAGAAATCGCTGTGGACTTTATTGGTGGGCGAGACAGAGGTTTTACTAACGGAAGGGTAATCAAGACGGTTGCTTTGACTGGTGCTGCTGGTGCCTGCCGCTCTCGCCAGAAGCCAGCGGCAGCCGCGTCCGTCTCTCCTCTCTCTGGCGTCTGTCCCGCGTTGGCCGCTGCCGTCGCTCCGATATCTTTGAGGTGTACTGTAGCTTACGTTGGATGCCTCCTCCTGCAGGACGGCCCGTACTATTCGGGGACCGCGTTTTCGTTGGGTTGAGTTTAGACGTTCTAGGTTTCAAACTTGAACATTACAGTATTCCGTAGATTTCAAACTTAAATACTACAAGTATTCTATAAAAGGTTTTCAATTTAGATGACGTGTCAATGTAGATGTTGTGTTTACATGGAATAATATTCCCAAAGTCTAAGAAAACATGCAACTATGGGTTACGTCTCAGATAAAGTTGTTCACAATTAACCAAGTTATTAGTGAATAATATTCATATTTATGACTCTAAATTAATTTATTATAAAAATATATTTCATAACTAACATAATGATATTTATTTGATGCTATAAGTATTTATAGTTTTTTATCTATAATTAATCAAACATAGTATACTAAAATATGGTACTATGCTAAAATTACATGTTTTCTTGAACGGAGGGAGTAAATCTTCTATGAACAAAAAAAAACTTACACGATGGTACCATGGACAGATCAATATTCACTGGGTACGGCCACATCTATACAACTTTAAAAAAAGAAATTGTGATAAAGCTGAATTTTTATCATATTCGCACCCCTGTGTTCTAAAACATTTAGACCCACAAGACGAGTGAATCTCTCCAAATTTGCTCTAGCTTCACCTTGTATCTATTGGAGGTCAACAAATCAACCGAACACAAATACCGCTTGCACCTCCTAATCAAATGGCATAGGAGCCTTTTCTTTTACCCTATATATAGGACTACAATTTCAACCACGTTATTATCGTGAGGATGTTGCTTTGGGGAGAATTAAGAACTTCGAATCCAAATATCTCGTTGCCTCTAGTCTCTAGACCAAAGGAGGAAAAGAATCTATTCATGATATGACACAGCTTAACTATATTCCTTTTAATCTTGTGGATAGCTTTTTTTCCATTTGGCTTGTCTTTTATAAATTGCTCGTGTAATTTCGGTCTTCTCGATATTCACCCACTAAGCCTCGTAAAAGATATTCAATACGTGCTCGTAGATGGGGTCGTGATCCATCTAATCAGCCTTCTGCGAGCAATTATAAGAGACTTTATATCTTTTCTAATTACTAGGAATAGAGATTTGGTGAAAAACATCTTCTAACAATCTCTTTAATTGGTTATCTAAATATAACTATTTCTATATTGAATTTTCGATAGCCAAAGATAGAATAACAGGAATGACTCTCTAGAGTGTAAACGAGATATAGAAAAACTGTTGGAGACTGAAAAGATATAGAAAACAAGTTTTATGCGAATGACTCTTCAAATGATGATTTAAAAAGTGTGTTTTAAAAAGGCTCTCAGAGATGCTCTGAGTTTTGCACGAAATTTCTCAAACTGTTAGCTAAGCTAGAATGTGAGCTTGAGCATAGGGCGGCAGTCACATCATCGTCATCTTATGGCGCCACTCTACCGGAAGCAATTTTCTTCGAGTCCAAAATGCTCAAATAATGTTTCAAAATTCTCGACGCTATTCAGTATGTTCGTTGGTTGGTTTCAGTCAGGGCTTATCAGCCAGTCAATAGTGTTTTTCTCTCATAAGAAACCAATGTCAGTCGGGTTTATCAGCCCAGAAACCAACCAGCGAACAGGCCGATTATATAAACTGGTCGAACGGTTTCGCAACTATGTATGTCATACAATAGAAATGCAACATATAAGTATGTCCCTTTTATGTCTAATAATAAATATATAAATATATTACATATACAACTATATTAACTTAATTTATTTATATCTAAATTATAATTATTAAAATAAATTCAATTCGAATGATCCAAACGCCTCGCTATTGCGTTGTGGATGTAACAATATTATATGCTAAAATTATTAAATTATGGTGTAATACGATTCGTATGTCTCACGTTGAAGCACAAGTAGCTTCCCCGAATTAATTAATTCAAAAAAAAGTAGTCTTACCCAAGAGAGAGCAGTACTATATATAGTAGTATATGATAATGTTGGGCTTATTTAGATCATCTGCCATCTACTTTGATAGCTCGGGATGACTGATGAGGCCTTTCCACTTCAAACCGGAGCGGCAAAACGAAAACAGCAGCGATCTTTACGGTTGGAATCAGATGCTGCTGCGTGCGCGACCTCTTGCTCTTGGTGAGTGCCCCTAACCATGCATAAGCGCTCCTTTGGCACACTAGCTTTGCCTACCTGTCTGCCATGTGTAACGGACTAACGGGTCGCGGAATGTGGTTGGCACCCATGCAAGTTACTCTATGCAACGACTCGCTTTATTCCAGTGTCTGGTTATGATTACGTTATTATTATTAAAAAAAATCCAGTGTCTGGTATGCCTGTGCCCACTGCCCAGTCTGTGACCTCAGCCTTCAAGCGCACGTTTGGTTGCCATGTGGACCCGGAATCATCCAGGCCTACCTGTCATGTAAGCGAATCGGATTACGAGAGACAGAGAGAGAGGGTTTGGAATTTCGAAACGCGAGTCCGAGAGTGGCCCCGGGGAGACGGCAGCGGCACGTGCGCGCCGACGCGGTAGCCTCTGAAGGGGCCTGCTGGCCCGGTGGTGTTCCATCGAACACGTCGGTTGATTCTGGACCCGAGCCTTTTAGACCCGGCCCGGCCCAGACCAAAAGCCTTACTCGCGGTTTGCTAAAAAACGGAGCGACGGGGAGAGAGAGGGAGACGGTACCTGGGCGTACGCGCCGCGGTGGCGTGGGGCCGTGGCCGTGGCCCGTGGGCCAGCCTGACACACGCTGCCCGCCGCGGCCGGCAGGTGGCAGCGTCCTTGACGTTGGGTGGTGGAAAAGGAAGGTTCTTCTCGTTTCAATTGATGGCGAGGGGGAGGGGCGGACGCCAGGACGGCCGTCTTGGAGCGTGTTTAGTTCCACGAATGTGGGAATTTAGATTACTGTAGCACGTTCATTTTATTTGGTAAATAGTATTCAATCATGGATTAATTAGGCTCAAAACGTTCGACTCGTAATTTTCAACCAAACTGTGCAATTAGTTTTTTTTCGTCTACATTTAATGCTTCATGCACGTATCACAAAATTCGATGTGATAAATACTATAACATTTTTTTAGATTTTAGGTAGCAACTAAACACGCGCTTGTTTTCTTGGGCCGCTGAATTGAATTGAACCGTTGGGAGGGACGGGCGGAGATCGCGAAGCCCCACTCCAGGGCCGGGGACCGCAGTAGTCATCAGAGTATCAGACAGACAGGAGGCAACGACGTCGACGTCATTTTTTTTCTATTTTTCCATAGCACCACGTTATCTTAAATTAAAAAAATTCATCTTATAAATTAACCCATACGCTATATGCCTACTATAGCCCATCCCCGACGATACCGCCTCAACAGCCTCCAGTCCTCCACAATCCGTACCTGATCCGAGCCATCCCATTCCCACGCAAGACGAAAACAACCAAACATTTTGATCTCAAGGTTTTCTTTACTTTCAAGAAAAAAAACATTGATCTCAGACTATGTAATTCATAGTAGGGTTTTAAATTTTGGTGTTGCAAAAATTTCCGCCACCACCGAAATTACCAAATTTTACAAAATTCGGCCGAAATTTCAGCCAATTTTTTAGGGACTAGCACATGAAGCACGTTTTTTCTAAAAAAAATTAAATCTAAATAAATATTAGTATGATTTATGACTGAGCATCTATTGAATAGAAAATAAAACATGAATTTTCAATTGTTGTACTTGGAAAATATTTAATTGGTAGGGAAAGATTGCCTCTACAGCTTTATATTAAGAAGAAATCACAGCAGAACTTGCCGAGAAAACCTCCAAACTCATGTTTCATCCAATAAGCAACATCATACACGTCTGTCACAAACTGGGCCGCTCAACCCTTGCCACTATGGCACTATCCATAGGTAAGACCACACCGTTAGCACATTCCGGTCCTCTAATACTGTTTGTTCTTCTAAGAGGAACGGTGAGGACCGACACTACGATAAAAATCTTAATGGAGGCGAACAAAATCGATTAATAAAGGCAGGCAATCCAACCGCCTCTGATCAAAGGTTAACCGTGACCAACGGAGACGGTTGATTTGCCCGCCTCCGTAAATCAAATTAAAATAAAAAAAGCAGCCGAGCCCAACGTCAGCCCATATGGGCCCGACGTCAAGCCCAGCCACGCCGCCGCCGTCCTAGATCCGCCACCACTGCCGGGCCGGGACGCGCCACCGCCGCCGGATCCGCACCTGGACGCGCCCTCCGTGGAGCCCCTGCAGACGGATCTAGTGGAGGCAGTGGAGGTCGAGCCGGATCTGGTGCGGCCCCCGCTGGATCCGCCCCCTCGCCACAGATCTACCGCCTCCATTGCTGGCGCACCTTCCGCAGCCGCTGTTCGCTGGAGAAGGAGAGGGAGAGAGGGCCCCTAGAGGAGGAGATCTGCGTGGCCCTACGCCAGATCCGCATCGCCCTTGCACGGAGACGACCACGTCGGAGGAGAGCCGCGCCCTGCTTCGCGCCACCCCTGCCCATGCCCGGTGCCGTCGCCGCCGCCGCCGGGCGCGCGAGGGCCCTCGCCGCCGCCTGCCGATGACGGCCCCGCGCGGCTGCCCACCGCCGTCGGGGTGGAGAAGGGGTGCGGATCCCACCTGGAGGAGGTGGTGCCCTGCGCCGTCGGCCCGCCT